AGGGAGCTGGAGAAAGAGGTTTCAGGCCTTTGTAATCGAGTTGCTGCTCTCGAGGCCGAGAAGGCAAAGTTATTTGCTCAGCCATCTTCTTCCGGCACTTCTGCTTTTCCTGATATTCTGCGGGATTTGTGCAAGGAATAGATTCAAGCCGAGGCCTAGCTGGATATATTTAGAGTTCTGATAGGGGTGGGAACTGTTTCAGAGGCCGTCTTCAAGGATGCTCGTGTTAAGGCACGTAGAGCTCGGGTTGCTTGTGGCTACGATCCCGCTACACCGGAGGCCGGTGATGACGAGGAGGATGCTGGCGTGGATCGGATTAAAGAGGACGCCTGGTATGAGGATGATTATCCTGATGGCGATGGTGATGGCGAAGAGGCAGATGGAGATGGCCTAGGCGATCAAGCTGATGGCACTGCTGGGCCAGGCGACGATTGGTAGTTTTTCCTTTCCTTCTTTTTTGTTTAGCCGCAGACTTGTGCATTTTTTGTGGGTGTCTTTTCGAGCCTTTTTAAAAAATATTCTAAGTATGAAATACTAGTTCTGTTACTCGTACCTGATTTTTTTTCTTTTGTTCGAGTTTGTATGTTTGTTGATTTTTTTGCTTGGTTGCCTTAGTCGTAATAACTTAGCTCAAGTAGGTTGAACGAGGTTGAAACAAAACCTAGGTTTGATCATGGCTGAGGGCTAGTGGGTGTTAGTTTGAACGAGGTCGAGCATATCGCATGTTTATTTATGGCCGATGGCCGATTAGGTATTGATTCAAGCGAGGTCGAATATAATATGTACTTGATTATTGGCCGAGGGCCGATTAGGTGTCAATTCGAATGAGGTCGAATGTAACTTATACTTAGTTATGGCTGAAGGCCGATTAGGTGTTGATTCGAACAAGGTCGAATAAAACCTTTACTTAGTTATGGCCGAGGGCCAACTAGGTGTTGATTCAAACGAGGTCGAAAATAACTTATTCTTAGTTCTGGCCGAGAGCCCATTAGGTGTTGATCCGAACGAGGTCGAATATAACCTATACTTAGTTATGGCCGAAGGCCGAGTAGGTGTTTATTCGAACGAGGTCGAATATAAGCTTTACTTAGTTAAGGTCAAGGTCCAACTAGGTGTTAACTCTGACGAGGTCGAATATAACCTATACTTAGTTATGGTCGAGGGCCCATTAGGTGTTGAGGAGACATTGCTTTGGCTGTACGTTTGGAGAAAATATGAGTAAACTTCATGCATTGGTGCTTTGTTCATATACTTGGAGAAATTTACATATTTTCTGGGCTGGCATTCCAGTCTCAATCTATCTAGCATTGGCTGGCATTCCAGTCCCAGTCTATCTAGTCCCTTCATTGGTCGACCTGGAGAAGTATATTGAGAGGTTGAGCAATGAACTAGCCGTCATGTGCCTCCGTCAGTGTACACTTCAATCCTGAAGTTTCCCTTTTATCGCCTCGTTAAAAACCTCCCCGAGAAAAACCAAATGGGACAAAACTCAAGTAAGGGAAAAAGAGTATGACTTTGGGGACGCTTCTTCTTTTGAAAGTTGAAGTACTTGAGGTGTGTAATATTCCAGTTGTTTGGTAGTCAGTTTCCTTCCATTGCTTCTAGTTGGAATGACCCTTTGTTTGCTGTTGTCGTGATTTTGTGTAGGCCGTCCCAATTTGTTCCTAGTTTGCCTTCCCGTGGGTCTTTTCTTGCTTGTGTTTTAGCTTTAAGCACGTAGTCCCCGACTTTGAGTGGCATGACCTTTGAATTTTTGTTATAATAGCGTTCTGCCTGTAGTTTTTTGGCGATCATCCTTATGTAGGCCATATCCCTTCGTTCTTCTACTTCGTCGAGCTCTTGCCTTCTGCTTTCATCGTTCCTCGGCCCACTCTAGTGGGAGTATCTCAGGCTGGGCTCTCCAACTTCGACCGGTATTACAACATCAGTCCCATATACTAATGAGTAAGGCGTCTCTCTGGTGCTCGTCTTAGGCTTTGTTCGATAAGCCTAGAGTACTTCTGGTAGTAATTTCGGCCATCGCCCCTTGGCATCTTCGAGTTTTTTTTCATGATGTTCAGTATCGATTTGTTGGAGGACTCCGCTTGCCCGTTACCCGCGGGGTGATACAGTGTTGAGAGTATTCTTTTGATGTACCATTTCTCAAAAAATTTGGCGATCTTTTTTCCAGTAAACTGGGGTCTGTTGTTGCAGCTGATCTCTTTGGGGAGGCCGAAACGGCATACAATGTTTTTCCATATGAAGGTGGTCACTTCCTACTCGCATATTTGGGTAAATGCTCCTGCTTCTACCCACTTAGATAAATAGTCAATTAAAACCAAAAGAAATCATACACTATCTCGCCCTGCCGGGAGGGGCCCACTATGTCCATTCCCCATTCGATGAAAGGCTAAGGGGAAGTGACTGAGTGGAGGTGCTCGCCTGCTTGGTGAATCATTTGGGCATACTTTTGGCATTGCTCGCATTTTTTCACGAAATCAGCAGCCTCTTTTTTCATGGTGGGCCAGTAATACCCTGCCCGTATGAGGCATCTGACCAAAGCCCGATTTTCGGAATAAGCTCCGCAGTGGCCTTTGTGGACCTCTTCAAGGATGCGCTGTGTTTGATTTAGGCCTAGGCATTTCGCTAGAGGGCCGCCATACGTTCTCTTGTACAGGTCGTTGTGAATGATGTTATACCTGGTTTCTTGCATTCGCAATTTCTTGGCCTCTTTTTTATCAGTTGGGAGTACGTCATCCTGCAAGTATGTAACAAGACAGTTGCGTCAGTCCCAAGTCAGGTTTACGGTTCTTACCTCGATTAGATCTATCGATGAGTTGAGAAGGTGGACTACACTTCTGTCTCCAGTTGCAATATTTTTGGTGGCTGCGGCTAATTTGGCGAGGCAGTCTGCCTCGACATTTTGTGCTCGGGGGATTTGGTCGAGTTGACATTCGTCGAACTCGGGCAGCAGCTTGCAGATTTCAGTTTGGTATTTTTGTAACCTTTGTTCCTTGATTTGGAAAGTCCTTGTGACTTGGTTGACCACGAGTTGAGAGTCGCAGCGTAATCTCAGCCGTTTTGCCCCTTATTTAGGTGCCAACCTTAACCCTGCAATTACAGCCTCGTACTCGGCCTCGTTGTTAGTCATATCCGGGAACCTTATAGATTGGCGAATCACCTCGCCAGTGGGGACTTCGAGTACGAGCCCCAGTCCGAATCCCGACGCATTTGATGCGCCGCCGGTGTACAGGACCTAGAGGTCTTATGTTTGGGGAGAAGCATGGACGGCTTCTCTTTGGACTTCAAGCGTTATTTTTACGCTGAAATCGGCATCGAAGTCTTCAAGTACTTACGACTTTATCGTTGTTCGTGGTTGATATGTGATATTGTGCTCGCTCAATTTGATGGACCATTTGGCTAGCCTTCCTGATATCTCACGTTTATGCAAAATGCTTCTTAAGGAGAAAGTAATGACGACCGAGATGGGGTGGCATTGGAAATACGCTCTAAGCTTTCGTGAAGCTACGACTAAGGCTAGAGCCAATTTCTCAAGGTGAGGGTACCTCATCTCTGGGTCGGCTAATATTTTGCTAATGTAATAGATGGGAGACTGTGTACCTTTGCTTTCTCGGACCAGAACTGCGCTCATAGCCATTTCGGATACGGCAAGGTAGACGAGGAGACGTTCCCCTAGCTCTGGTTTTGAAAGCAGTGGCGGTGATGACAAGTATGTTTTTAGTTCTTTTAGGGATTGAACGCACTCTAAAGTCCATTGGAGGCCGTTATCTGTCTTGAACATGATGAAGAATTTGTGACACCTATCCGATGATGGCGAGATGAATCTTGAAAAGGCGGCGACGCGGCCAATCAACCTTTGAACTTGTTTTTTGGTGGTCAAGTGCTCTGGTATTTCGATGGCTTTGATCTGATCAGGGTTGAACTTGATACCTCGCTGTAATAATAGAAACCTAAGAATTTTCCTGAGGCTACACCAAATGCACACTTTTCGAGGTTCAGTTTCATTCTGTATTGTCTGAGTATGTCGAAGGCTTCTCTCAAGTGGTCGATGTCATCTTCTTTTTTATGGGACTTGACCAGCATGTCATCTATGTAGACCTCCATAATTTTACCGAGTTGGTCTTTGAACATCTTGTTACTAACATTTGGTACGTTGCCCCTGCGTTTTTCAGTCCGAAGGGTATGAATCTGTAGCAGTACGTCCCCTGATGGGTGATGAAAGGGGTTCTCCTGATCCTCCTCTTCTATGAGGGTTTGATTATAGCCCGAGTAAGCGTCCAAAAAACTCAGTAGTTCATGCCCGGCCATTGCGTCGATGAGTTGGCCGATATGAGGTAATGGAAATGAATCTTTGGGGCATGCTTTATTCAAATCTATAAAGTCCACGCACATCCGCCACTTCCCATTTTTCTTTTTCACCACTACCACATTGGTGACCTATTGAGGGTATATTGACTCCCTGACGGAGCCGTTTTCCAATAAGTTTTCGACCTCTTCGCGTACTGCATCATTGATTGCAGAGTTGAGCTTACGCCGGACCTGTCTTTTCGGGGGGTGGAATACATCAACGTTCAATTTGTGTGTGGCGATTTCCTTTGGAATGCCTGTCATATCTGCATGGTTAAAAGCAAACAAGTCTGCATTAGTATTTAAGAATTGATGAAATTTACCTGGTTCTTGAAGCTTGCAGTCGATGTAGGCTTTCTGGCTGTGGTCATTGCTGTCTAGTTCAACGGGGTCGAGAACTTCTATGGTCGATTCCGCGGCTTCAACCATATCGGGATCTTTGATTACGTCCTCATTTGACCTCGACACTGTTGATTGCTATGCTTCTTTTCCTTCTTCCTTCGCTTGTTGAGTGCTCGTACAGTCTAGAGCGATGTGGTAGTATTCCCGGGATATGCGTTGTTCCTCTTGTATGCTGAATATTCCCCATGGAGTTGGGAATTGATGACTTGGTACAAGCTGGAAGGGATGGTTCTTATGGTGTGTATCCATGGTCACCCTATTATGGCGTTGTATGTTATGTCTTGGTCCATGATATGGAATGTGGTTTCTAGAGTGACGCCACCGGCTAGGACGGGGAGTGTTATCTTGCCGGATGTTTGTCCAGCTGCATTGTTTGAACCTGTTAGCGTAATGCAACATGGTACTATGTTGTCCTCGAGTTTCATTGGTGCAAGTACTCGTGGGTAGATAATGCATGCGCTGCTTCCATCGTCTACCATAATGCGTCTCACATCGGTATCTAAAATTCGTAAAGGGATAATAAAGGCATCATAGTGAAGGAAAACCAAACCGTCGGTATCCGAGTTATCGAAGATTATACTTTCTTCGAGTTCATCGTACCGTTCGTGGGTGATTGATTGTTTGAGCTTGTGGGTTGTGGTGATTTTCACACTGTTGTTAGAAGCATCATCATCGCCGCCAATGATCATGTGGACGGTGCAGGTGGGCGAGGGTGGCTTCGGCGGTCCTTGATGTTGTTCACGTTCTCTAGCAAAATTGGTCCTCCCTCGGTCGCTCATTAACTATTTGAGGTGTCCCTGTTGAAGCATGTTTACGACCTCCTGTCTTAGGGTAATGCAATCCTCGGTTTTATGCCCTCATTCTTGTGGAACTCTCAAAGGGCATCCGACTTTCTGGTATTCGGATTTGACCTTATCTTTTGTGGATACTTCACCTTTGTTCCAAGCTTCTCCAAGGCGTACACTATTTTTGTTGGCGACACAAAAAAATTCTGAGCATATAATAAAGGGGGCGCATACCTCTTTCGTTCTAGTGAGTCCCTGTCCTTGATCTGGGTGGGCCCTCTTCGTGGCGGGAGGAAGGCGCGATGGCGCTTCTGACATATGGTTTATGCCGCTCCCGGCTGGGCCGCGGAGCTACGAGGTCCCTTCTGATATCAATTCTTCGATCTTTACGGGATTCGGCTTATACCGAGGTCAATCGATGAGTTGGCCTATTAAGTTCGTCCTCATCTGCTCGGACCTCGGCACAGTACGTGTTGTGTATTTCATCCCAAGTAGCTGGGGGGTACTTCATTAGCCGACTTAATAACTTTCTTGCCGCCCTTGTACCATTTCTGCTCAGCCCATTCTGGAAAGCTGCTACGGCCATCCCTTCCGATACATTCGGTAAGGTCATTCTTACTCAGTTGAACCGGGCGAGGAAGTCCCTCAATCCCCCTTCGATGACTGTTTGATAGCGAATATATCGTTCACTCTCGCCTCTGCCTTTTTGGCCCTATTATGGGCCGTTACGAACTTGTCAGCCATTTCTTCGAATGTTTCAGTGGAACGTGTGGGCAGCTGTGAATACCATGTGAATGCTCCTCCAGTGAGGGTCTCACAGAATATTTTCAACAAAATATAGGATACTTGTTCCTTGGCGAGGTCATTGCCTTTCACAGCGGTAACGTAGTGAATCACATGGTCTTCAGAGCCGGTCGTGCAGTCATACATTTTTAGGTAGTGCGGAATTTTAAAGGTCTTTGGTATGGCATGGGGGGGGGGGGCACCTCATCACTGTATGGTTGCTCGACGAACCGACCAGCATCTCTCTTTGGCAAGAGCTTTGGGGCACCTGGTATCTTATCGACCCTTTCTTGGTGTTCTCTCCTTTGCTCCCGAAGTGCTTTGTTCTCATTCTCCATTTCCTCTATCTTTTTCAAAATGGTTGCGGGGGTGTCGTCACCTGCACTATTAACGACGTTGTGAGTAATAACTGTCGTTGGAGGAGGAAAAGGGTCACGCTGCTCGTCCGTTGGTGGCAAAACACAAGTCCTTGCATTTTCTGCAACCGCATCCTGAGTGGGCTTATGCAGGATGCTGGTTAGCGTGTTAGTTAGCCAAGCCTCGAGGAGCTTTTTTAATTGCCGATAGCGTCTCTTCCATCGCGGATGTGGAAGCTCCTTTACCAAGAGATCTTATGATTCTATAATGGGGGGGGGGGGGGAGGGGGAGAGGTGATCCGCCTCGCCTGGGGGAGGCATGGGGCGTTGTATCCATGTCCTTTGCTTCAGAAATCTCATTGATGGTATTCAAGAGGTTGGTTGTGAGGTCGCCCATTATCCTCGTTCTTTCTTCTCTGTTACCTGCCATATTAGATCTGTGCATATGATCGCAGCCAACTCCGCAACACTAAAAAGTAGCGAGAGAGGGTCGCAATAGCTTTTACCCGATTAGTGGGTCGGGATCGAATCCACAGAGAGCTAGGATTGGAATCGAGTATCTATTTAGCTTAGGATCGCGTATGTGTTCTTAATTGGTCTTCTATTCATTTTTGGGTTTTCTTTATATTCTACTATGATCAAACTACAAATTATAATTGCAACTAAATTAGACTAAGAGTAAATTGCTACAAGTTGTATCTAATAGTTTAAAAGGCACTAGAGTAGTGACTTTCAACTAGGTGGCTAATTGACGGGTAATTGCATCTAAGGAACGATTGACATGTTTGGGGAAATATGTTATAACCGTTGCTCGATACAAACCACTCTACACCTCTCGGTAAAAAGAGTGGTTTTGCCCAATTGACTCTCTCGAGACCAATTAGGTATGCATAATTGCCCAAACAACTAGGGTTCAAGTCGGGTAATTACTCTCTCGAGGTTCAACCCTTTAATGGGACTATCAAATCTCTTGAGTCCATCCCAATTCCTTGTTGAGTCAATTTTGGAGACTTAGCTCTCTTTCTCAAGAAGAGCCTAGGTCAACTTAGCACAAACTAGTGTTTGCAACCACTAATTCATAAATTAAACCATAAAATTGACCCAAATAACAAACACCCATAATCAATCTAACCTTAAATCACAACACCCATCAATTACCCACACTAGGGTTGAGCCACAACCCTAGCTAATGGGTTTAGCTACTCATGCTTGAAGATAAAATCAGAGAAATAGATGAAGAGAAAGACATATTAATTAATTACTAAAGTAAATACAAAGTTTCAATGATTAAAACTACGTAAAGATGCCAAAAATAGCTAAGAAATGTCTTCTCACGAGCGCAGCTACAGTGTTCTAATATCTGATACCCTAAAAATGGAAAAATGTTCTATTTATACTAAGCTGGAAAAACTGGACAAAAATGCCCCTGTGGGGTCAGTGTGGACCGCACAAAATGGTGTGCGGCCGCACTAGGCTCTTGACTCTGAAAAATCAACTCTCTGAACCCAGGCTCTGCGGACCGCACAGAATGGACTGCGGCCGCGGAGGCATCTAGCGCGGTCCGCACAAACACGACCGCGGACCGCACAGGCTTGAACCTTGGCACTTGACATCTCTCTAAAGTTTGCTTCCGCGGATCGCACAAAATGGTAGTGCGGCCGCGGTGTCTCCAGTGCGAGCCACACAACATCTATTGCGGCCGCACTACTCTGATGCCTTAAAATGCACTCTCTGAATCTCCCTAGTGCGGACCGCACAAAGTGTAGTGCGGCCGCACTAGGCTTGTTTGTCCTGAGTTGTCTTGTCTTTTATACTTGTACAGGTTTCACTCCTTTTGAGCTGATTTTTGACATCTCGTCACTTTGTTGCTCAAACCTGCAATCAAGCACAACTTATGAGCCTTTTGGGACTATTTTGTAAGAATTTATAATCAAAGCGTAAGCAAGAAGGAGCATGAAACACGTCAAAATCCCTAGTTATCAACTCCCCCAAACTTAAACTTTTGCTTGTCCTCAAGCAAACAAAATAAGACCCACCCCTTGAGAGAAAATCCAAGAATTTTCAGCTATCTTAAAGTAACCTTAACTAGCATCAATTGGGACTAACAATTGCCCTCGACATACATGAGTCATTAACAATATCTAACCTTTGAAAAACCATGGATCAAGTGCGACACAAGAGCATCAAGAGTTGACTCAATACATCAAAGAACTCTTTTCAATTACTTTGGTCATTGTGGAACCCAAACTCACACATCCTCAACTCTCCCTAAGCAAACCTCACCTTTAGAATATTGGCACACAAAACGATGTCATTAGGAATTCACTTATCTCTCTCAAGGAAAGGTCACAAGTTTGGCTCTAAGTACCATATGCTTGCCCCTTATGTAAGTATCCACTAATGTAAGCTTCATTTGACTTAAGATCATATAGGGCTTGTGCGGAGTCACTGTGGATAAGTTTTTGTTCAAGTGGGTTCCATCTTCCCTTAAGCACTTCTTTTGATTCATTTGGCACAATTTCACTTGACTCTTTTAGTCATTTCACTTCTTTCTAAGGGGTTAGAGAGACACATTATCACTCTTTCTTATGCATTTCAAACCTTTTCTCCTTTTTTCAAGTTTTCACACCTTTCATTCTTTGCTTTTCTTGAATCCCTTTTTATTCTTTTTCACATTGAACATTCTTTTTGACTTTTTGCTTTTCTTTCTTCTTCATTGCCTTTCCTTTTCTTCATTTTTGTGCCTTTTTGCCACTTTGTTGCAATCCTCATCTCTTCCCCCCAGACTTATACTTTTGCCATGTGCTAAAGGAAGGATCGGGTGCCTAGAGAGGATATCTTTTAGAACGGGTATAGGCTTGTATCATGGTTCTTGAAAGAAAAAGGTCTAAGGTTCAAAAGGGTTAACTAGGGATCATATAACTGGTAGGCTATGGAATTGTTCAAACTATCATTTGGATCAAGGAGAGCCTATAATCATATCTTAAATCAGAATTCACCTAGGATTTCGCCTCACAAACATTCAGGG